AAAAAAAAAGGCCCAAAGGCCAAAGCAGAGGCTCGAAATCCAAGACTGAAGAGGTGAACGTGAGTTTCTGAGAGAGCCAGAGAGGAGGAAAAGCTGCAGTGTTGAAGCTACTGGCCGGTGTCTCCATTTCTCCACCTCTCCTCCTCCTGTCCTGCGGCTTTGACTGGTGTGCGATTGAACGCCCTTTTACTTCTCGAATCTTGTTTTTTGTTTTTAGTTGTTGTTCCATGACAAAGAAAAGAGAATTGTGATTTATAAATTTGTGATTTATGATAAATAATTTATGGTGTATGAGTTATGAGTTATAAATTGGGATTTATGAGTTTTGATTTGTGATTTGGGAATTCAGGTTTAGGAAATTAGGAATAAATGAAATAAATTAATGGANGACATAAATGAGAAATGTGATTTGTAAATGTGTGATTTATGATAAATAATTTATGTTGTATGAATTATGACTTATGAGTTATAATTTATCATTCATGAGTTTTGATTTGTGATTTAGGAATTTAGGTTAAGGAAATTTCAAATTAGGGATAAGTGAAAAAAATTGATGGAGAAGATGATGGGCACAATACATTGTGTTTTTAATCATTTTTAATTGAAAATAAATTGGGATATTTTGCAAATTATGGAGCGATTTCTTGTACATCTGCAACTGTTTTTAGCTATATTTTTATTACCGACTTTTATTTCATACCCAAAGTTACAGGAAACAAACAATATTTTTTTCTCAGAAAATTAATAAATTTTTAGTTGATATTGCAATAATTTATAAGTTATTAGCTAACATTCTACGAAATCCTTCCATTATCTACGTGAATGCCGAAGACTAGCTGAGCTGACTAAAGTTGTCTTTAAATTTTGAAATACTGTTTACGAGAAGTTGAATTGAGGTTACAATGCAACATCAAATTTACCATTAGGGTCCAAAGAAAAAAATATCAGCTTCTACAATCATTACTAAATATATGAATCTCAACACTGCCAGATGCTTACTTAAATGGAAG